ACTTTGTTGTTATATCTAAGAAATCATTACAAAGGTTAATTGTAATGAAGCTTCCCTTTTACATATGTTTCTAGGAGTTTAATATTTATAGGTCTTAAATTAACATTTAAGTCTTTGTCTATGTTTTTAATTGACACTTGTAATTGTGCATATTTACAGGATACAATTTGATGTTTCACATATATCTGTTGCATAATAATGAAATCATGATATTTAGTGTATTCATTACCTCATGCATTTATTAGCCATATAGCCAGCCCATCTGTCTTTTGGATACTGATTGCATGAAACATCTTTTTTTCCAAACTTTCATTTTCAACCTATATGGGTCCTTGGATTTAAGATGAGTCTGTTATAGACCTTATATAGTTTAATTTTGTAATTTGTTGTTCCAATTTTAATTTTTTTATTTTGTGAGTTTAATTCTTTTATATGTAAAGTAATTATGGATCGGAAAGGACTCACATTGTCATTTTTTTTTTTTTTTTTGAGACAGAGTTTCACTGTGTTGCTCAGGCTAGAGTGCTGTGACAGGGTCTTGCTTTTGCTCAGGCTGGTTTCAAAGTCTTGACCTTGAGCGATCCACCCGCCTTGGCCTCCCAGAAGGCTAGGACAAGCATGAGCCACCATGGCTGGCCTCACATTGTCATTTTTAATTTGTTTTCTGTATGTCTTACAGCTTTTTTGTCTCTTATTTACTCCATAGCTGCTTTCATGTCTTTGTATTTATTTTATTTGTTGTAACACATTTTGATTCTCTTTTCATTCCATTTGTGTACATTATATAGATATGTTCTTTGTTATTACCATGGAAATTGCACACAACATTCTACAGTTATGAAAATCTATTTTAAATGTATACCAACTTAAATTATGTACAAAGTCTCTACTCCTTTAAAGCTCCACTTCCTCTCTTTATTTTATTGATGTTACAAATTACACTTTAATATATTGCATAGTTAACAGATTGATGTTTATTATTTGTTATTTTTCTTTTAAAATATTTCAGGAAATAAAAATCAAGTTACCAACTAAAATTTTTATAATAGTTTTTAAAATATATGCTCATGTCTTTAACTTTACTGCATAACTTTGTATTTTTATATGGCTTTGAGATACTTTTTGCCAATGCTTATTTCAATCTAAACAACTCTCTTGAACATTATTGTAGGATAGGTCTAGGGACAGGAAACAATCTCTCAACTTTTGTTTGTCTACAAATGTCTTATTTTTGCCTTCATTTGTAAAGCATAATTTCACCAGATACAGAATTCTTGATTGATAGTTCTTTTTTCGTTGTTTTCTGTTTGCCTCTTGTTTGTTTGTTTCCTTTCATCCCTTTGGATATATTGTTGCACTACCTTCTGCCTGCTATATTTCTACTGAGAAATCTGTTGGTCGTCTTTTCTATGAATCCCTGCATGTTATGAATCACTTTTCTCTTACTAGTTTTAATATTTTTTTACATTCACCTTTTAACAGTTTGATTTTTATGTGTCTTGGTATGCATCTCAGGGTTTTCCTTATTGGTAATTATGAAACTTGTACTTGTTTATTCATGTTCTTCCTGAAATTTGAAAAGTTTTCATCCATTATTAAGTCAATGTTCTTCCCCAGTATGAGAAGAGAAATCTCTCTTCTCATACTGGGACACCACAATGCATATATTGGCCCATTGGATGATGTTCCTAAAGTCCCTTAGACTTTGTTCAATCTTTTCATTTATTTTTTTTTTAATCATTTTGTTCCTCAGATCCAATAATTTCAAATTATCTCCATTTCAGTTTGCTGATAGTTTCTTCTACTTATTTAAGTCAACAGTTGCATACCTATAGTAAATTTTTCAATTTATTTATTGCCTTTCCAAATGCAGTATCTCTTCTTGTTTTTTAATAATTTCTATCCCTTTAATTGGTAACACTACATTTTATATATTTATTTAAATACACATTTATGGATATAATACTATTTATGTAAGTATTGGTAAAGTATATTTTCCTACAAAATTTCCATGTTAACTGGGATTGAGTTGTACATGAGTCCAATAATTTCTAATGCATACTATTGACATTATATGTTTCCTTTTACTTGCAACTCTTTGAAAGTCCTTCTGAGATATGTAATTTAATATAATCCTCACTGATGGGATTGTTGATATTTTATCCATGTGATAATAACATCTGAATGTTAAGGTTCTTAAAAACTGTAACTCTGGAATCTTTAAACTAATCCTAGACAGGATTGTTAGAATTCCTATAGTTGCACCCATATCACTTCCATGCTGCTAATAAAGAATAGTATAAATCTATATAACTATTGGATTCTCTGTGCAGAATCAATGTATATGAATGGCAATTGTTGGAATAGAATATTTTCTCAAGCTCTGATGTACAAAGTGCTAGTAGACAGTAGTTGTATCTCTACTGAAAACATAGTGACATGCCGTTCATGGTGAGGCTTTTTTGAGACAGTCTCACTTTGTTGCCCAGGCTAGAGTGAGTGCTGTGGCATCAGCCTAGCTCACAGCAACCTCAGACTCCTGGGCTCAAGAGATCCTCCTGCCTCAGCCTCCCGAGTAGCTGGGACTACAGGCATGCGCCACCATGCCCGGCTGATTTTTTCTATATATATTAGTTGGCCAATTAATTTCTTTCTATTTATAGTAGAGACGTGGTCTCACTTTGCTCAGGCTGGTTTCGAACTCCTGACCTTGAGCTGATTGCCTCGGCCTCCCAAAGAGCTAGGATTACAGGCGTGAGCCACCGCGCCCCGCGGAGGCTATTTTCAGTCCTGACGTTCAGGAGGCAGCATTGAAAGCAGAGGTGACTTTATAATAATGGCTTTCAGACAGCATTTTCTAGACTCAGTGTATCTAGTGGTTATTGGTCTAGATTAAAATGTCTAATATCTATTCCCAAATCTACCATTTCAATTTATAAAATACACAAGTTTCCATGCCTCACAGATTTCATTTTCCATATTTGTCTAATGTTAATATTGTTCACAAGCCTCACCTCTTTGCAAATTGTTTTATTTACATATTAATTAAATGATGAGTATATAAACTTAAATGGTAGTAATTTAGTTTCTACCCTACACTATTTGATCATGTACTAGTGTTTTGAGTCCCATTGTTTAGGACATGATATGAGATTGTTATTAGTTCTTATAGTAGTTGCTATTGTATTTTCCTTCCTGGCATAAGATAAAATGAGTCTTTCTGTGGCCATCCTGAAACAAAACCATTCTTGTATTCTTTAAATCCAATTTAATCATGATGCAGGTTCTTGGGATATTATATTGCCATCAGTGTATCTACATTATATCTAAAATTGTAAAGGTTTACTCATAATTGATATTTATCATTGGAATACTTTACACATTCATAGAAACTTGTTCAATCCAGCAATATAAAATTCAATATCGCCAATGTGAGATAGAATGACACAGTGTAAAATCAAAACTAAATATATATCTAGACAACTGAAAGAATTCAGGTAGCCAGCGTTGATAGCAGAGCATGGGGGATAAAAGCACTCCTTGGTATCAGCCCGACAGGATCAAGTTCCTACTTTACCCCTGTCCAGTGCCTGAATTTAGACATGTCACTTGCCCTCTCTGTGCTTAAATCCTCTCTATCATTACAGTGGCAGCACATGCCTCATACGTGAGTGAAGCGTAGCAAAGTCACCACACGCCTGCCCTTCGCAGCGATGCAAGTGTACTTTAGATGGTACAGATTTACATATTGGAAACCTGTTGATAATAGAGAAAATTTGAGTCATATTCTGAATAGGCACTAATGGTCAGGGAGAGTGTTGCATGCTAGCTGATATTTTACAGGTAGCCCATGCTCACGTCCCCTGCACGTCCTCTGGCTCTGAAGGCAAGTAGGCTGTGGCGCTGAAGAATGGCTGTCGGGGATTTGGCAACCGGAATGGCCTTCCTAACACAGGCCACACTTGGAATCCTGGAAAATTTTTGTCTTTTTTACCATGTTTTTTTTTTTTTACTTCACTCAGTAAAGATTTACTTCACTCTTTAGGGTCCACAGAGTTGATTATTAAGCACCTTTATTATTATAGCCAAATCCTGGTTCCCTCTCTCCTGAGGAGTTCTACTGACAATGGCAGCTTTGGGGTGGAAACATTCCCTCAGTGATTTTACATAAAAAGTACTTTTCTGTGTTCACAGAGTGGGGAAGGGTGTGTTCACTGGCACCAGCTTCCTATTGAGTGTTTTCCAAGGAATCACAGTCAGTCAGGAATTCCAGGTGGGCAGACCTTAAGGTGAAAACTACTACTTATATTGGCTCCTCCATGTCGCGCCCCCTCGCCAGCAAGGAAGACACGGCAATTGGAGTTCTTCTGACAGCGCTTTAATGGGGATTGCTTAACTGGTTACATGCGGAGACGCCGAGGCGTTCTCGGCGGCTGCTTATAAAGGCAGTAAGTACACTGGGCATTGTCTGATTGGATAAGGCACTTGGAAGGGAGGAGACAAACTCTGCACATGCGCTGAGCACTTGTTTGTCAGACTAACAGCAGGGTTTGACCAGGAAGCGGCCGCCATCTTGGAATGGCGTTGCCACCGCTCCCCACACCTCCATATTCCTGTGATGGATCCTCCGAATTCTCGTAAATATTATTTTTTCCATGTATGTGCCTGGCAAATGAAGTAATAAAAAATCACAAAGACAGAAGATTTGGGATACTGTTCTATTGTTTATCCTGGCAAAACTGGAGATACTCCATGCAGCATTGTTATCATTCCCTGGTGTTTTATGTTTGGGGACCATGCCCTGGGTGTGTGTCTCCATGATTTTTATTCTGTACAGGCACAAGTAACAGGTCAAATACATACATGTGACTAATTTCACCCCTAATCCTTCTCTGAGACCAGAGCTTCTAAAACTTCTTCTGGTGAGTGCTTTTATATCATTTTACACTCTCTCCTTTATCTTTCAAATTTGTTTGGCTCTTTGTAATAATCCCAATCAGTTGATGGTTCACATCTCCCTGATAACCAGTGAAGGTTTCCCGACTGTCAGCCCCTGTTCTCAGGAGCAGAGACTGCAACGTGTCACAGCTTTGCATTGCCTGGGTAAGTAATACAAACCCCAGGTCTTCTCAGAAATATGGGATTGTGTGTGTTTTTTCAACATTCAGTTGTTTGTTCATTCATCTTCATAGAGTTGTAAACACAACTGTGAAATGTTCTCATTTCAAGAAACTGACTGTACACACAGGTAAATGCATTTGTGTGAGTGTAAATGTGTGTGTTTGTGAGTGCGTGTGTTTGTGAGTGCATGTGTTTGCATGTGCTTGTGACAATCAGGTTATTCTTCTCTATCAAGCAATAAAATTGGAAATTACACATGAAGAATGTAAAAATAATACCAATTACAATAATGGCAAATGCTTTGCCATAAAGTCTATTACATTTGATAGTTACATCACTATGGTAAGTGATTCATTGTTAATTTGTCTTTAAATTGTCCAACTGAATATAGCCAAAGTATGTTGTCTTTAATAGGAATGATTAGTTAGTTTTTGTTAAATATAATAATGGGTATATTGTGCAGTGTATTCTTCATGATAACCTGCTCTATTTTCCTATTTTTTCATCATTTCTTAGTTTTAAACCTAGAAATTAAAGCTTTCTTTTAAACACCAATCATGGTGTCAGGTGACAATACCTATGCCCTATGAACAATATGGCATTAATCTATGTACCTTTCTTCAACTTTAAAAAAATTCTCATGTGTTTAAAATATTTAAAGGTACATACACAGGTCATGAGTGGAAAGCACAATGAAATATTAAAACATCTCTGGCATAATTGTGTATGAGGCTTTTTAGATTTTTTTTTTAAGGACATCTTAGCCCACAGAGATATTCTTATGATCACCGCCAGCCACTACACTCAGCGTGAGCACTACACTGACATCTAATGGCAGAGGTCACTTTGACCTCTTTTTTTTTTTTTTTTTTGAGACAGAGTCTCGCTTTGTTGTCCAGGCTAGAGTGAGTGCCGTGGCGTCAGCCTAGCTCACAGCAACCTCAAACTCCTGGGCTTGAGTGATCCTTCTGCCTCAGCCTCCCGAGTAGCTGGGACTACAGGCATGTGCCACCATGCCCGGCTAATTTTTTTATATATGTCAGTTGGCCAATTAATTTCTTTCTATTTATAGTAGAGATGGGGTCTCGCTCTTGCTCAGGCTGGTTTTGAACTCCTGACCTTGAGCAATCCGCCCGCCTCGGCCTCCCAAGAGCTAGGATTACAGGCGTGAGCCACAGCGCCCGGCCACTTTGACCTCTTTTATACTTTATATAAATATTATGAAGAATAAACTTTTTAGTACATGACTTTTTAAATTGGATGGGTTGTTTTAAGTTTATCTATATTTTTGCATGTTATTGTGGGTCATTTTTTAGCATTGAATCCTGTTGTGTAAATATCAGACAACTAACATAATTACTCCACTGCTGATGCACATGTGAGTGTGCTTTAGTTGGGGCTGTTAGGAACAGTGCCCGTATGTAAATTCTAGAAAATGTATTGGTGACACATGTACAAATTTCTGTTGGGAACATATGTAAAGTAAAATTTTTATGTCATATGTTTACATCTCTTCATCTATAAATAATATGCCAGGCTGGGCGCAGTGGCTCATGCCCATAATCCTAGCACTCTGGGAGGCCGAGGCAGGAGGATTGCTTGAGTTTAGGAGTTCAAGACCAGCCTGAGCAAGAGCAAGACCCTGTCTCTACTATAAATAGAAAGAAACTAGCCAAACAACTAAAAATAGAAAAAAAATTAGGCGGGCACGGTGGTGTGTGCCTGTAGTCCCAGCTACTCGGGAGGCTGAGGCAGGAAGATTGCTTGAGCCCAGGAGTTTGAGGTTGCTCTGAGCTAGGCTGATGCCATGGCACTCTAGCCCTGGCAAGAGAGTGAAACTCTGTCTCAAAAAAATATGCAAAACAGTTTTCCAAAAATATTTGTACCACTTTTCAAACCCACCAACAGTATATAAGTTTCCTGGAGTATCTATATCCTTGCTAATATGTTTTTTTTGTTTTGTTTTGTTTTGTTTTTTTTGAGACAGAGTCTCACTTTGTTGTCCAGGCTAGAGTGAGTGCCGTGGCGTCAGCCTAGCTCACAGCAACCTCAAACTCCTGGGCTTGAATGATCCTTCTGCCTCAGCCTCCCGAGTAGCTGGGACTACAGGCATGTGCCACCATGCCCGGCTAATTTTTTATATATATATCAGTTGGCCAATTAATTTCTTTCTATTTATAGTAGAGACGGGGTCTCGCTCTTGCTCAGGCTGGTTTTGAACTCCTGGCCTTGAGCAATCCGCCCGCCTCGGCCTCCCAAGAGCTAGGATTACAGGCGTGAGCCATAGCGCCCGGCCTAATATGGTATTTTTACTGTGTCTCCTGGTTGCTGTGTGATTATATCAAGCTTTTTTACAATTCCCTGATTACTAAAAAAGTTAAACATTTTTTTACACTTCTTAAGCTATTAAATTACCTCTTTTTGAAGGACTATGCTGTTTTATTTTAGCCATCCTCCATTGTTTCAGCCATATTTTTCATATGGGTTTGTAGGAGTTTTTTATATGTGCTGGATTGGAGTCCTTGCTTTGCCCTCTACCTTCTCTCTCTCTCTCTCTCTCTCTCTCTCTCTCTCTCTCTCTCTCTCTCTCTCTCTGTCTCTCCCCCCCCCTCTCAATGAGAAGTTCTAAAATTTAATACCAACTCATTTGTTATTTCCCTCAGTATATTAAATGTCTTTTCTTTCATTTAATGATTTTTTTTCTATTTTAAGACCATAGAGATGTTCTTTTTTTAAAAGACATTTAAAAATGTGGTTTCACAATCCATTCAGAATTGGTTGTGTGTGGCTAGTGATTTAATTATTTTCCAGTAAGATAATAAAATTCAATTTATTCTTCAAATGTTGTCTTACAGTTCTTTTTATCTGCTGTCACCTCTCATTGCCTCACCCAATTTAACCTCACCTCACTCTTGGAGCTGGCTTGTCTATAACACTGATAGTGTAACTTGTTGGCGTTCAAATGGGAAAAAATCTAAGAGCTTCACATTTCTGACAATCTTGGTGATGAGTGTGGATTTCTAAGAGATTAAGGTTATAAAGTATGAAATGTCTGATTTCCTTAAGTACTAAGTTTGATAGTTGACATCTCTGACATTTCACCTTGACACTTCTTGTTTTATTATGAAGGTACATCTTCATTCTTTCAAAGGTATAGTTTGGCTTGTGATTTTCTTTCAAAAATATTTTGGAACAATTTTTGTGAAACCATGAATAAGTCAAAAATTTGTGTTATTTTCATATATAGGTTCTGTTGTGGAAACAATGTAATGCAGACAGCTCAAAATGGCAACAAAGAGTTTGGGAAGGATGTGGCTGATGAACACACAGCACGTGGATGGTTTGAGAAGTTCCATTCTGGTGATTTTAATCTTGAAAATGAGCCACGTGGGCGACCTGAGACCACGGTGGATAATGATGAGCTAAAAGCTTCATGGAAGCGAATCCATCTCAACCCACTCATAAATTAGCAGCAAGGTTTGACATTACTATTCCAGCAATATTGGACCATTTGAGACAAATCAGCAAGGTAAACACGATGGATAGATGGGTACCACATGAAGCAAATGAACATAAGGAGAGACGTCACTGAAAGCTTGCCTTTCTTTGCTGTCACAACATAAAGGCAAACCATTCCTACACTGTATTGTTATGTGTGATGAAAAACAGTTACTTTTTGACAATCACAAGCATTTTGCACAATGGTTGGATAAAGATGAAGTGCTAAAACACAGTCCAAAACCAAATATTCATTAATAAAAGGCTAATAGTGTCTGTTTGATGGTCCAGCACTGGTATAATCCACTACAGCTTCATGAAACCTGGTCAATCGATTACAGTGATTGTCTACTGCCACCAACTGGATGAAATGATGAGGATGCTTGCAATTAAGCAGCTGAGATTGATTAATAGATACAAGCCAATCCTCTTGCAAGACAGAGCTTGACCACATGTCACACAAACAATGCTGCTCAAACTCTCTGTCATCCACCGTATTCACCAGACCTTGCACCAACTGACTACCACTTCTTCCAGGCTTTGGACCACTTGTTGCAAGGAAAAATACTCAGTTCCCCACAAGCTGTGGAAAACACCTTTTGTGACTTCATCACCACTAGCTCTCCAGGCTTCTTTGCTGCTGGCATAAACAAGCAGTACAACAAGTTTCAGAGGGTGAAACTGTATTGATAGTTTAGGTACATACTTTTATTAACTGTACTGTTTCTTTCTTGGCATATAATAGACTAAACTTTTGATTCAAAGTTAGACATTTCCTATTTAATGTAACATAATGTTGTATAAAACGAAAGTAGAGGCATGGTCAGGGATATGAGAAGGCTCCCTGGAACAAGTAGCAAAGTCTCTCACCCGAGTGAAAGTGAAGTGAAAGTAACCCATCCACTCTCTGACCTGACAGTGAGGCTGTCTGAGGGCGAGGGAGGAAACGGGCCATCTAAGCACGCTTCATTGGCTGCTGCTTCTCCTGTCAGGAGGAACAAAGGACAGAGTCCCCACAGCTGATACAGCACTTTGGATAAACCAAAAATATTTTAAGTGTTGTGGTTTTCCTTACAGCAATAAACTCAAAGAAAATGTGGCATTTGGTGTTTTGCCTACTAGCAGGGAGTCACTCTCTCCCTGTACCCACTGATCCCTCCCTCCACGCACGCTCCATTTTAGCAGCTTTATGGGAAAAGTTGAATCTACTTGGGAGTTTTTGGAAGGGAGCAACTCAAAATTGTATAGTTCTGTTTCATACGAGTGCCCAAGTCACTGTCTTCTATGGTGCTCTGGGCAGGAACAGTAGGTAATAAAGGTGAGTGAAAATGCCAAGGACAGTGGGGTGAAGCATGGCTGCAAAGATAGAAGCTTCTGACCCTAAATGCTCTCCAAAGATAGGAAGGTACAAAGCTAAGAGAAAAGCATAGACTTTAGGATGAAAATCTGAAAGAGAATAACACCTCCCCATGTCCTGACCCTATTCCTCACACACACCTATTGTACCCTCCTCTGGTCTTGCATTTCCCTGTCTTAGAAATTGTGTAAACTTCTTATTCTGTGTTTCCATAGAGAATAAAATAAACAAAAGCAAGCACATAAATAAAAAAATCCAAAAGTCAGCAGATCGGGTTTGGGTAGGATTCACAGTGAACCCAGAGAATTAAATGATGCCATCCAAATGGATATTGAAGTGACTCAGGATGATGGACTCAAGAATAAAACTTCAGGACAAGTGTGAAGGTTTTCATAGGAGAGCATCCAGTAGATCTGAAGGTGGCAGTGCCAGGGAAATGGTGGGGGGCAGCACAATCTTCTAAGCAGCAAGAGGAAGACAGGAATAATGGTCTTCAAGAAATCAGAAGAGGCCGGGCGCTGTGGCTCACGCCTGTAATCCTAGCTCTTGGGAGGCCGAGGCGGGCGGATTGCTCAAGGTCAGGAGTTCAAAACCAGCCTGAGCAAGAGCGAGACCCCGTCTCTACTATAAATAGAAAGAAATTAATTGGCCAACTGATATATATATAAAAAATTAGCCGGGCATAGTGGCGCATGCCTGTAGTCCCAGCTACTCGGGAGGCTGAGGCAGAAGGATCACTGGAGCCCAGGAGTTTGAGGTTGCTGTGAGCTAGGCTGACGCCACGGCACTCACTCTAGCCTGGACAACAAAGCGAGACTCTGTCTCAAAAAAAAAAAAAAAGAAAAAAAAAGAAATCAGAAGAAGCAAGGAGAGTCTATAAACCCCATTTCCACCTTAAAGTGCTTTATAGTTTGAGAGAATGAGTACTTTTTACTTGAGATACAGAGCAGCAATGTCAAGGGAAATCCAGATTACACTTAAAGCCAGTACATGGAAGAAACTCAATGAAGAAGGAGTC